AATTGATTGGGATGATACTTTGCCGGCTTTACCTTCAGACCAGAGATGGTGTCACCAAGAAATCGTTGAACCCACTAGGATAATAAGATGTTGGACTTTATGCTTGGTAAATACTTCCAATGAAAGAACCTCAACTGAATTTGAACTGTAGTAAGGCAGCAAGGTGGAGAAATCCACCATGTGGGGGGGGGGGCGGGGGGGGGGGGGGGGGGGGGGGGAATCCCAGTGCCCATAACACTGTGCCAGATAATGCAATCTAATTAATAATTTAAAAAAAAAAAGAAGAAGCCTGATTTGAAGCCAGCATCTCATATCAGATTACCTGGATTAGATTCCTGGCCTACTCTGTCCCTGACTCCAATTGCTACAGACCCAGGAAGGCAGTAGTGATGGCTCAAGTGGTTAGGTTCTGTCATCCATGTGGGAAACCTGGGCTGAGTTCCTGGGTTCTGGCTCTGGCTCTGGTCCTGGTCCATCCTCAGCTGCTGCCCTGCCCATTGTTGGCATGGCATTCTGGGAGTCAGCAATGAATGAGATCTCTCTCTCTCTCTCTTTCTCAAATATAACTTTGAAACAATGTATTCTTTTTTATTTAAAAAAAAAAAAAAACTCCGGAGCAAGATGTGAGCCCTAGCTCTTCATTTTTGTTGTCAAACTCTGTTGAACTATTCTGAAGCTTATTTTCCTTCTTAAGAAGGAATAATTATAATAGAGCCTACAATTTAGAATTTTTATAAATATTAGATGAGGAAATGCACATATGGTGCCTGATAAACAATAAATTAAGGTAAATATTATTGTTGGATGTTTCCTAGAGGAATGCCCCTTGTGCCCTCCACCCCTCCCTGCGCTGGAACACAACCTACTTCTGTTAACTCCTCAGTCGGAGCTCCCTCCTCTGTACTGTAGCCATCTGTTTATTCATCATTCTTGCCTGCAGATCAGTAGTCCTCGCAGTGTGGATGTAGAAAATGTAGATTTCGAATACTATGACAAATGTAAATTCCAAGAAAATTTTGGGGTCCTCTCAGACCTAGTGAAATGGAAATTCTGGACCTGGGACCCAGCTTTTTGCATTTGAACATGCTCTCAAAGCGAATCTGTTACTCGGACGCTTGAAAGCAGCAGTCACAATGGGTCCACAAGGTTGCGACACATCTGGTTCAACTTGCATTGTCTCTCAGCCCAGGGACTGTTTATATCAAACACTAACAGATGAACTAATCCTCATGACAGTGTGGTGCCTCAGGAGGGTATCAAGCAGGGAGATGTCATGGGCTGATGGTGTTTTTAGAAAGTCAGTGCTATAGGCTATGTATACATTAATGTGAGAACTGATTCAAGGCAAGTGAGTCGGTTTAAAGGAAAATTATTATTTGGAAGTCTGGATTTATAAGTAAGTAAGTAAAAAAATGCATATTAAATCAATGCTTTTCTTTTAAATCTTTTCTCACAAAATCATTTTAAAATGTAGTACTCTGGTACTATACTTGTAAGTGGTGTTTTATATTTTTGGAGAAATGTAATGTCTGTAAGGCACATGTGTCAATAAATATATTTGTTCATAAATTATGATTTGATTTTTCCAAAACAGTTCCAAATATTTTATGTAGATTTAATATTTGAGAATTTTCCCAGTGGGGTGCGCAATATTGTTTTGTTTATAAAGCTAAAAATGTTATAGCAAATTAGTGTAGAGAATATTAAAATGTTATTTAAGTTTCAATACTAATATAAAAAAGTTTCAGACTTGTTTGAAAATATATATTAGCATAGAGACTGTATGTTATTTATCTTATTTTGATTGAAATAAAATAAAGTAATCCGTAGAAATATTTCAACAAGGCCTGGCGACATGGCCTAGTTGCTAAAAGTCCTTGCCTTGCACGCCCCGGGATCGCACATGGGCACCAGTTCTGATCCCGGGAGCTCCAGTTCCCATCCAGCTCCCTGCTTGTGGCCTGGGAAAGCAGTCAAGGACGGCCCAAAGCTTTGGGACCCTGCATCCATGTGGGAGACCCAGAAGAAGTTCCTGGCTCCTGGCTTCTGATCGGCATAGCATCGGCCATTGCGGCTCACTTGGGGAGTGAATCATCGGATGGAAGATCTTCCCGTCTGTCTCTCCTCTTCTCTGTATATCTGACTTTCCAATAAATAAATAAATCTTTAAAAAAAGAGAGAGAAATATTTCAACAAGAAGATAATATTAAAAGTACAAAAATTGACATTGACATGCAATATAGAGAGTAAAGCAAATGCAAAGACATGCTTCTTTAACAATGATGGAAGTGAGGAGTGGAAGTTTAACTTGGCAGTCCAGATGCCCATCTTCTGCGTCACAGCACCTGGGTGTGAAGAGCGGCTCTGGCTCCTGACACCAGCCTCCTGTAGATGTAGAGCCTGGGAGAGAGCAGCAGCGGATCAAGTCATTGGGTTCACACCACTGAACTGAAAGACCTGGGCTGGCTCCTCTCTCGGGCTCTGGGGCTAAAGGTAGGGGCCCAGTCTCGGACTCTCGGTCTTTCATAATAACAAAAATCAATTTTAAAAATTATAGTGCTGAAGAAGAGCCGCGGTTTCTCTGTATCAAATAGCAGTTTTTCACCAAAGGATTTTCATCACGATCATTGGATAAGAAGATATTAATCTAGTTTATCTGTGGGAGAGTATTTGACCAAAGTAAACTTTTCAATTTTTTTTCTTGACTTCTAAATAATCTTGTCTAAAAAATGAGGGCTTCTAGCTATTTTCCTAGAACAATGAGTTCAACTATTAGACATTGTTTGTTGCTCACTTCTTATCATTCTTTCTTGCTAATAGAACTGTTTTTCTTTGAAAGATTTTTTTTCCAAATGAAACCAAATATATTTTACTTACATGTCACACATTTAAAAATAGTGATAGGTTATTAAAATGATGGTAGTATATAATATTTAACAATTTGGTTGAAAGTTATTTGAGCCAAATGCTCACAAAACATGGAGTTCAATTTTAATTTTATTGAAGTCGTAGGAAAATAGTCACAATATTCTAAACACATCATGAAAGCCCTTTTTACTCTTTGTTTGTGATTACTCCATATCTAGGTATATGGCCTGATGATGATCAGTAAGAGCTAATGGAAAGTCTGATGGGCGATTTTCAGAAACATTTTAATACAAAAAATAGCTTCAAAAATGAAGTCTCAATTTTATTCATTCTTTTACTTCTTCCTTTAAAACATAGTATAGGGGCCGGCGGCATGGCCTAGTGGCTAAAAGTCCTTGCCTGGAACGCACCCAGGGAATATGGGAATATGGGCTCCAGTTCTAATCCCAGCTGCTCCACTTCCCATTCAGCTCCCTGCTTGTGGCCTGGGAAAGCAGTCAAGGATGGTCCAAAGCTTTGGGATCCTGCACCCACGTGGGAGACCTGGAAGAAGTTCCTGGCTCCTGGCTTTGGATCGGCACAGCACCGGCCATTGCGGTCACTTGAGGAGTGAATCATCGGATGGAAGATCTTCCTTTCTGTCTCTCCTCCTCTCTGTATATCTGACTCTGTAATATCTTTAAAAAAAAAAAAAAGAATCAAAGCATAGTGTCGGTCCCCATGCATGCTTGTCTTCGGGAGAGAATGTGGGCATGGAAGGATGATTCAAAGGACTGAAGGAAGAGAAACTAAAGGTCATAAAAGAAGAGATTACAGGGCAAGAAATGCAAGATACTAAGAGGCAAATGGAGGATGAAAAGAAGGGTCTGAGAGAGGAGAGATTAGTGGGTGGGGGTGGGGTAGGACATAAGCAAAAAGGAAGAGCGGTGAGGCTGCTGTGGAATGGACAGTGGGAGAAGATTCTGGAGCTCTTAGAACTTTAAAGTCTTGGTTTCTCGTGACCCTCTGAGGCATAACAGTGTGAGCAATTTTAAACAGGTGAAGGAAGTATCTCTTTTAAATCTGTAAATCTGGTTCATTCAGCCAATTGATGGTGTTTTGTTGGCACTAACAAACTTTTTATCTTGCCCCCAGCAGAGGGCTGCTTCTATATCGCAATCAATTACAGATTCAGTAAATTTGGTGAATTGATCATTGAAAACGTCAATAATTCTTATGTGTTCCAAGTATTGGCTAAACAAAAATGACTTTCAAGTGATTAAAAGGCAAAAAATAAATAAAGTGGAAAGATTCCATGTGAAATGCTAAAAATTTTAAGAATACATTTTGAAGTATTCATTCTGAAGTTCAGAATATTTTGTATTGCTTATTGGATTTTAAATATTTTTCCACATTAAATGCCTATTTATAGGTTTTGTGCATTTCCTCTTGGTTTATTTGCCTTTTTCCTTTGTATGCATTTATGTATTGTATATTCCAAATCTTTTACCGTGATATATGCTACATACATTTTCTCCAAACCTCTTCCCTGGCATTTAAGCCTTTAATCCAACTAAAAATGATTGTGGTGTTTGGAGCAAGACTGGAATCTAATGGGATTTTCTATTTAGAAGTCAGACAATTTTTCACAATGTCACTTGCTGAATAATCCATCTGGTCCTTATTAATTTGCAATGTTTCTTTGGTAAGTATCAGATGTGGCAAAGTCCATCTCAGGTCATCTATTGTGTTTTATCCAATTGCTTTGTAAAGTCTTGGAAAGAATTATTACGTGATTATGCAGATTTCTTGTTCATATTTTTTGAAATTTCTTGCGTGTTCCCATCTTTTTACTTTAGCTGAAATTTAAAACCATCTTGTCATGTTAAAATACAAATACTAGCATGCATGGAGGTGGGGGTGATATGGATTTAGATGCTGCATTAGTCTTTGGCTCTAATTTGAAATATGCCAGTTTTTCAGTCTACAGCTCATTCATTGTGCACTTTTAAGTGCTTCCCATCTTGTAGGCAATAAAAGGCTTGCCAACACAATCCAGCTGTCATTCATCATCTTTGATTTATGAAACTTCTGGTTGTCAAGAATCATGAAAAAGCCCAGGCTCTGGGAGCTCCCATCACTTCTCTCCACAGGTTGTTTTGAAGAACCTCCTCATTTGCGTCATCCTGTTCTACGCTGTGTACTATGCGTCTCTGAGCTTGTGCTGCCTGACACTCAAGTAAGTAGTAACACACTGTCTTCAAACAGGATTTAAAAGCTGACATAAAACACAAAGGGAGTCTCCACTTAATATTTTACATGTCTTCCTGGAGCAGTGGATGTGATTTTTGTAATGGTAAAAGGTTTTAGCTTTTGGCTTAATGTCCCATTTTTAGAAATGATGAAAGTAGCAATCATACAATGAAGTGGATAGAGCCAGGCAGGAATATTCTTACCTGGTTGGAGGTCAGTCATGAAAACAAAGCGAAACTATTACTCCTTAGAATAATATTGAATTATTGTCCCAACTAGAAGGAAAGCAAGAGATCATATTCATCCAGTTTAAACATTTTTTGACATTTACTGGTGTCACTAAGTCAATACGAGTTTAACTGCCTGGTGTGCATGAGAAAGCTGTATTCCCGAAGATATGGCCTTTTGTGGAAGGAAAGTTCATTATGATACAATCAAGTAAGGAATTAGGAGTAATGGTTAAATCTTATACCCATTTTTTTCTTTCTGCCTTTGGGGTGGTTCATGTGAATACCCCTCGCTGAGATGGTGCTTAAGATACCATCTCCACCATTTCATCAGGTCTTTCCTACCTTGGGGTCCAATACTGTCACTAAAATAGGAGCCTTCTTTCTTTCTTTCTTTCTTTCCTAAATAAATCATATTTTGCAAACTAAAAACAAAACCAAAAACCAAAAAAATGTATTCCCCAAACAGTTTTTGAAATAGGCATTAGAGAGGAAGGAGGGAGGCCAGCATCACCATTTCGTGTCCCAGGTGTTCTACTTCTGATCCAACTCCCTGCTGGCAGCCTGGGATAGCAGTGGAAGGTGGCCCAAGTGCTGGGGCCCCTGTTCCCATGTAGGAGACCTGGAAGAAGCTCCTGGCTTCTGGCTTCTGTCTGACCCAGCCTCAGGGATGCGGCCATTTCAGGAGTGAACCAGCAAATGGAAGGTCTCTCTCACTCTGTCTCTTCTTCCTCCCTACTCCCTCCCTCTTTCCCTCCTACTCTTCTTCTCTTTCTCCTTGCTGTATAACTCTGCCTTTCATAAAAATAAAATAAATATTTGAAGAAAAATGAAGGAGAGGATGGAGATAAAGTGTTGGAGTTGATTAACTGGCCAAAGAAGGGGCAGTGCTGGTCTTCCAATTCAGGTGGATATCTGCTACATGCTCCTTTGTTCAAAAAATAAGAGTCTAAGCTAACGTGTAGTGGGTGAAGATTGAGGCTCAAAAATGCTGTGAGTTCACCCACTCAGTAACACAAGTGCTTTTTGTGGCACCGTGGTCCTGACCGTTTTTAGGCAGCTTGGGAAATCACAGCAGCGTTTGGTTTTCTCAAGGTAAGGGCCAACGTTTCCTTCATCTCAGTCCTGCTAGGCTGATTTCACCAGAATTGGCTTTGGCCACTTTCTTGCTTACTTCCTAAATCATGGTGAACAGAGTTGAAACAGAATTTCTCTTATTCACCATCTTATGTGTCACATGGAGGTAACAGAACCGTAAAGGTTTATGGTAAGGGCAAAATGAGATAGCTAGTGTATTTCTAATTGTATCATTTCTTTGTAAGTGAAATATTTTTTCACAAAATATTTTTGTCTCTATGGTTGCAATTTTTCCCTAAAATCCAGGTAACTTTGAAAGATTTTTTTTATAATTTTTCTGAAAGTTGAGTTTATAATTTTATGGTACAAGAAGGGAGTTTATTTTAATATTAAGAGGAAAATAATTATATTGAAAGTTGTGATGGAATGAATGCTACTTAGCGTGCTTTCAGGCAAACCCACTGCATAGATATCTAATGATCAAGGCTAGCCTTAGCACCTGGAGACTGGAGATGATGAAGCAACAGACTTTTTAGAGCTGTCTGAGCAAAAGAATTCAAGAATTTGTAGTTAATATGAATCAACAGCAAATAATACAACCTTAAATCTCCAGGAGACAGCTAACTGGTTGACCAGCTGCACACAATTATCAACTTGCGCATAACAGTAAGTTTTAGATATTTGCTTTATTGAGTCTACAATTTAGGACAAGAAGATTACTTAAAAAATAACATCTTCAATTTGGAGTTAAAAAACTGAAGTTCAAAGCAGTTAAGTGCCATGTCCAAGTTCATAGCTGCAATGACAATAGGATTAGTGCACAGGGCACATTGCTTCCAAGCTGCTTCATCCTCTGTGCTAGGAGGTGATCCTCTTAACTTAATGGCGACTGCCAATGTAGTAGCTGAGATTTTGATTACCATCAGGCCCTTGTGAGCCAAGTGGACTTGATTAAGCAAGAAGACAATATGGACACAATGTTATTTGACTGTCATCCAAATTCAGCTAGGTTTTAAATGTACTACATGGGTAATGTAATCTTAATGTATTCTTGTATATGAGTAGTGATTAAGAGACCTTGGCGTGCACCCTTACGAATTGCCTCCTTCAGGGTAAACTGTTTTCATTTGCTACATCTTCAGGCTCTATGAGTTGGATGTTCTGGCACCATTTGACTTCAAAACAACTCCCTCATGGCTCAACACAAATTATAGAGGTAATGATTTTAAAATTCCAAATTTTGCCCATTGGTAAACTATATGCATCCAGAAGTCAAAATTGTTTTCTTAACATAGAGAAACTTTTAAAAATCCAGGTTTTTTGTTAGTCATGTGTATGTTTTCTCTGACTGTGAAAGTAAATTAGAAAAGTTCGACCAAACTTCATGGAGGAATGGCATTTAGCCTAGAGATCCGGGTGATTGGATGCCACAGCCTAGGGCTGATTCCTTCTCCGGCTTCCTACTGGTGCAGACCCAGGAAGGCAGTGTCTCGGTCCCTGCTCCCAGTGTGGGTGACATGGGCGTGTTCCCACTTCCCAGCTCTAGCCCAGGCCCAATCTCAGATATTTCAGGAAGTGAATCAGCAGACTGGTATACATGTTCTCTCTCTTATGCTTATCAAATACAATAATAATAAAAGTAGCTATTTATTTGGAAGCTTGATTAAAATAGAATAAATAGGGGAAGGAACAAGAATTTTTATATGAATTTTTATTTTGTGCTGTGAAGGGCGAATCTCTGACACATAACATATTTTTCAAAAAGGAAAAATGAGTTAACGTATGATTGTGGAAAAATGCTAACATGAAAACTTTAAGAGTTTGTGTAGTTTTTATAGACTAGAGTAAAATATGTGATATCAATGCTAAAAATTCTGGAGAACCAGCAAGAGGCTATCATTTCTACCTGGGATGACAGATCTTTCATTTTCTTCCATGTATATTCCTGCTTTGTTTTATTGTTCATCCCAAAAAACTTAAAAAATAAACTCGCCAAAGAAGAAATATAGAATGAATACATTAAGAACTTCTCCATCTAAATTTAACATTTCTGAATAAATATTAGTTTTAATTTAATAAGAACACTTGTTTGTACTGAATATGTTAACCACATTTGTTTCACAGATGCCCATGGTGAGTTTGTCCAATCCTAAAAAACGTAAATATTTGATGTCACTTTTCTACTGTTAAAGGCTATGTATTAACTAGTGAAAGTTCAGAAAATATCTAAGTAGAAAAGAGAAAAAGAAAAACATAAAATGCCAACATGTATTCCATATATAATTATTCTTAGCATTGTGTTAAAATTTTCCATACACTTTAAAATCTACTGTCAAGTATTTAAATGTTAAAGTTCTTAGGCAAGCACCATTCAGTCTTTTTAAGAACAAATATGCAAATATGCAAAAATTGCCTGAAGCCAGAGAAACCAGATTCCAAATATGATTTGCATAGAAAATTTGGTCCATTAGAATTACTCAGCTTAAATAAGGTTTAGAGCAGCCTGCCCAAATGGATAACTTTCTTGGTGCCATTATTGATTCAATTCTGGATAAGCAAAGGCTATGGTGAGAGCAAGAGATATTATTCTAATGAGATACAAGTCCAACATTTTATCTTCACTTTTCATGCATTTCCCTATTGAATATTGAATAAGCTTGTTTTCAACCAAGACTATCCCCAAATGATAAGGAGATAATCACAGTATCGAGTCACATGTGATTTCTGTGTGTTTGTGTTGGGTACTTGGTAGAGATTTAAAGCTCACTGTTGCTTAATTCTTGCCTGTGGGTCAGTCGGCGAAGACAGGATGATGTCACAGGCTTCTTAGAGAGGGCAGTGTTTCCACATAGCAGATATTAGTGGAGATCCCCACGATGTCTGGCACAGTTTATATCGTCCCTTCCTCTCTTGAAACATGAGCATTTGTACAAAGATATCAATAAACCCTTGGCCTGTTAGATCTTTAATTTTGAGCTCAGGGAGATATATGTCATAACTCTTCAAAGTTGTTGCTTTGGGAATCTTGGTTTGTTTAATCTTACAGATAAAGTGTGCAAGTAATCTCAGAGCCTTGAGCATGGATTTAGGGTCAGGTTTCTTGTCTGTTTCGATAATGAGGTCACCAGGAGACCAGTTTTAGCAAGGGCGCTGGAATGTGTGAGTCCAGCTGGAGCGTTTTCGTTCTAATCTCTTTCCTTTGCATTGCAGAGAGTTTACAAATTCCTTTCATTTTAAATTAATATCGTCCTGATAATTTTTTGTGGGGGGAGTAGACAGGGTAGTATTCTATTCCAAGTTTATAGAGGAAGAAACAGATCTGCTGAATTTTCTTAAACTCTAAAGGCGAGATTGGACTACTGGAGTCCTAACTACAGATTTACATGACTTCCTCAAAGCATGCTTTCTTGCAAGTCATAAAGCTTGACAATTCTGTGTCAGTATATGCAAATATAGCTTTTGCAAGACTAAAATCACTGTTTGCAAGCAGCTGCAAATTAATCTACAAAATCTCTAAATCCTGCTAAAAAGGCAGCTTTATTTCCGAGTAATAATGGGGAGGCCCAGTGAGGTACTGATGGAGGAAGAAGTAAAATGTTATGTGAAATGGTAACAATATGATAAAACACATTGTGAGTGCATCTGTCTTGGCCACAGCAATTCTGATCTGAAAGAAAAAATAAGATTTCTCCCTTCAATATTTAAAACTTGTAGAACTAAATATAGTTGAAAAAGAAGTAGGGCCTTTAAAAACACTGAACCTGGGCCTTGCTTACTTGGTGCCTTGCATAGCCAGTAAGTATTCACTGGCAACCGGTTACTAAATTACTATTGCATAATATATAAGATGGTTATTTTATTACTTCGAAATATATAGAGTTACTGGTGACTAAATTATGTAAACACACCAATCGTTTGTTGTGTTTTAAAAGGAAAGTAATAATGGTATTATTTACAAAGGGACTGTAATCATACATCACATACATTTGTCACTTTAAAGTTGGATTGGTCTCTGCTTTGAAACCAGCCTGTCTTAAAGCATTGTATCAAAGACATGAGACAAAGTTTATCCCTCTGCATGTTCAGAGCTGTTTGAGAGTTGCACTCCTGGCCTATAAGTTACAAGCTTTTTGTACATGTTTTTAAACCAGGAGAATTAGAAGAATGTCTCCATCTATACTTGTCATTTAATTCAACCACTGGAATCAGTCACGTGTTCCAAATGACTATGCAAGCATAGCACTTAATTATAAAATCACAAGAAACTCCATTCCAAGTTAGGCAGTATTTGGCACTAAAGTAATGTTATGGCTCAACAAAACCTTACAATTTATTTCCAAAAATTCAGAACTACATTTTTAATTAATTTTTAATATAACTTTAAAAGAGATTTGCAAATCAATAACAGATCTATATTGATTACCTTGTGACTTCTCTATTGCACAAGTGTTTTACTTGTAAAATGCTAAATACAAAGAATATAAAACAAATTGTATAATATTCAGTGTTTTTCTGTAGCTCTAAGGATGCTGTGAGGCAGAAAATGTTGATTGTTCTCAGCCAAATTTGAGAATTGTTAAGAGATAGAACATGATGACTGCTAAGAGAACATTTTAAAAATTCTTACAAAAAATTTCTTTGCAGAGTAAGTGATCATAATTTTGTTGCTAGTAGCTGTTAGTTTCTATAGTTCTAGATAATAATGTTCTCCCTTTTATGTCTAGTTCTTTTAGTGTCCACAGAGGTTACCTACTTTGTGTGTGGATTGCTTTTTGTTCTGGTTGTGGAGGAGTGGTTATGGGATTATGCCATTTCAGTAACTGTTCTTCATGTTGCCATCACATCAGCTGGTAAGCAAAAAAAAATTAGGAAATAGAGAAAAAAATGTGTTAAATCTGATGTACCTCAAACCTTTCCTAAGAGTGGAACTTTCTGGCATGCATTTCTCTTCTGATGATTTCACAATACAGTGCAGTACAACACACTGCAATATAAACCGATGATGAGGCTCCTTCAGCCACAGTCCTCACCCCTCCTGCTCTGCCAGGCTCTCCTTGCACTGTGCCAAGACATGCACTCCATCTTGAATTCACAACTCTACTGAGTCGTGGGTGCTTCCCATTCTCTTTTCACATTCAACTTGTCATCAATTTGTACAGGGTTTGCCTTGGTAAGGAATACTTTCTCCCCGCCCCAAAATCCTTCCCCAAGGCAGGGATTGACCACATTCTGGGGACTGACACTTACAGAAACCTGTACTTGCAAACAAACAAGCTTTCTAACAAGAGCTACTTAACAAAAAACACCCGTTTTTAGACCAAGGGATTTTTATTTCTACCTATGACCTTTAGAGTCAGAGGAAAATCGACTCCAATTCCAGTCTTACATCCCACGAGGAGGGTAGTCCTGCACAAATTACATCTTTCACATAAGTTTCCTTCTCTACAGATCAGGCAATCTGGTGACATTCCAGTGCCTAATGAGAACATCACTAGCCAGCAGGGAATTGAAAACCACAACTGTAGTGAGATGCCATTTTACCTCTGTCAGAATGAATACAATTCAAAAGGCACGGAAGTAACGGATTCTGTGACAACGTGGAGAAGGAGCGCTTACACACTGTTGATGAGAATGCAAATGAGTGCAGCCATTGTGGAAAACACGATGAATATTTCCTAACCTATGAGAAAGAGATCTGCCCAATGAGCCAGGAATCCCATTTCTGGGAATATATTCAAAAGACATGAACATGTTGCATCAACATACACCATTGTGTTTATAGCAGCTCTGTTCAAAGTAACCAAAATGTATATGGAATCAAGCAAGTTATCCACCATCAAGATAAATGGATAAGAAAAATTATATATATATATGTGTGTGTATGTGTGTTTATAATTAATGGAATATTACTTATCTATAAAAAAGCAGTAAAATTGTACCATTTACTACAAAAAGTTACACATCATGTTGAGTGAAATAAGTTGGACACAAAAAGACGAATGCTGCAGGTCTCTCTTACCTGTGGGAGCTAAAATTCTAAAAGAAAACAGAAAGACAATGCTTGTGTGTCAGAGTTGTTGCAAATACCATTTAGTCAAACATTCTTTTGTACCTTTGTCAAAGTAGTGATTAAAGTATTCCAATACTTCCAATGTTTTAATGATCTGTGATTATCACAAAATGCACTGTGAAATGATCCTCTTTCCACTAAATTATTATTTCTAATTCTTGCCTGTATCACCACTAAGATAGGGTATTTCTGCTTTCTACTTGTTAAACTTTTTTTTTTTGAAGATCTATTTATTTTTATTGGAAAGTCAGATTCATAGAGAGAGAGAGAGACAGAGAGAAAGTTCCTTCTAGCTACAATGGCTGGAGTTGAGCGGATCTGTACCCAGGAGCCAGGAGCTTTTTCTGGGCCTCCCACGCAGCTACAGAGTCCCAAATATTTGGGCCATCCTTGACTGCTTTCCCAGGCCACAAGCAGGGAGCTGGATGGGAAGTGGAGCAGCTGGGATGTGAATCGGTGTCTGTGTAGAATCCTGGCACATGCAAGGCAAGGACTTTAGACTCTAGGCTTCCGCATTAGGTCCTTGCTAAACTTTTTATTTGGAGGAGCAGTAACCTATTGACTGTATTGTGAATTAAAAGTGTATTATCAGAGACCTGAGTGAATGAATGAATAAATGAATAAGAATGGAAAGATCATCACATTCTTATATCTATGGACTATAATGAATGTTAAAAACTAAAAAAAAAACTTTCACAATAAAATAATGATAAATTGTCTAGCATACAATAATGAATCCAGTAATGCATTCATTTGTTCAAAATTTACTCTGGCCTCTAACTTTTGCTTCATTACTATCTTCCGCTATTTTTTAAGTATGCTAGCAAAACTATTATCAAAGTAACAATGAGCCACACTTAGGATTTGAACTTTATTATTTGTTAATTTAATGCACTCATGTGTTCGTATGTAATCTGTCTCCAATCTAGGAATGTATGATTTCCAACTGAATTGTTGCTTTTCAGTTTCTCTGAGAAATTTCAGAGTGTCAGTATTTTAATCTCCCAGCATCAATTTCCTCAGACAAATTACTCCTTTAGTAACAAGATCTAACAAGAGATTATTCCGGATGGTCTAATGGACCTTTACTACTGCCGTAAGTCAGCTTTGGAAACTAATCCCAGAACTGACAATTCATAATATCCTTTTATGGGAAGCATTCCAAATATTTGACTTAACAAAGGCTCTTTTAGATCGTAGAAAATACAACTTTGGAATGTGCTGATTTCAAGAATATGGATATACTTCCTCTTTGGGACATGGATATGACTTCACAAAAGAGTAGTTTTCATGATCAAAAACATAATATGCATTTAACACCTTTTTCCTTCTATTACAGTTATGCTGGAATTCCCCTGGACATCACACTGGTGGGCTGCCTTAGGTATATTGGAATTGTTCCGGTTTGGATTTTTTTAATGCACAAAACCTGTTAAGTAGAATAATTTTGGAGGGAGAAAAATTATTTTTATCTTAGTGTTAATTTCTCTTATTATTTTTCAAGATAATGATGATGATGTCTAAAGATAATTAAAACCGGGCCTGGTGCAGCAGCCTAGTAGCTAGTCTTGCATGAGCTGGGATCCCACATGAATGTGTTTGTACCTTTGCTGCTCCACTTCTCTTTCAGTTCCCTACTTGTGGCCTGGAAAAGCAACTCAGGGTGGCCCAAGGCCTTGGGACCCTGCACCCATTTGGGAGAAAAAGCTCCTGGCTTCTGGCTTCGGATCGGCACAGCTCCGGTGGTTGTAAGCCTCTCGGCAAATGAATCAATGAATGCAAGATCTTTCTCTCTAGTTCTTCTTCTCTCTATAAAACTGAATTTACAATAAAAAAAAACTTAATTAAAACAATAAAAAAGATAATTAAAACCATAGCAGGTATTTGGGGCAGTTGTTAAGTCGCCACTGTGGGTGCCTACTTTCTGTTTTGCTGTGCCTGGTTCTAATTTGGGAGACTGCATTTTTCCTCCAGTTACTTCCTGATGTGTGTTGGGAGGCAGCAGCTGGTGAATCAGGTGCTTAGTCCCTTGCTGTGCATGTAGGAGACCCACATGGAGTCCTGAGCCCCTGGCTGGAGCTGACCCTGCTCCAGAGTCCCGAGCCCCTGGCTGGAAACTGACCTTGATGTCTTTCAATTAAAATAAAAATAAACGTGAGGAACAAAATGCAAAAGAGCACACATCGTTTCCCTGAAGATGGGCCATCTTAATATTTTTACTTTACTAAATTATCAGTTTCCTTTATATCTTTTTTAAAAAGATTTAATTGTTTTTATTGGAAAGTCAGATTTACAAAGAGAAGGAAAGACAGAGAGAAAGATCTTCCATCTGCTGGTTCACTCCGCAAGTGACCGCAACAGCTGGAGCTGAGCCGATCTGAAGCCAGGAGCTTTTTCTGGGTTTCCCATGCAGCTACAGGGTCCCAAGGCTTTGGGCAATCCACAACTGATTTCCCAGGCCACAAGCAGGGAGCTAGAAGGGAAGTGGAGCAGCAAGGATATGAACCACCATCCATATGGGATCCTGGCACATGTTAGGTGAGGACTTTAGCCACTAGGCTACTACGCTGGACCCTTGACTATATGTTTTAAACAGTAATGGATGGTTTAGACAAGAGTAAAAAAACAAAAACAACAACAAAAAAAACCCTCTATAATCCTGGCAAAGTTTTCACTAAACCATAGATTTCTTGGGCTCCTTTCAAATCTGGCCTACACCAATTTTACCTACCTTTTTCCCCCATAATTTTGGCCTTGTGGCATAAAGTAAGGATGGGGCTGGCATGAGTAGGGAAACTAATTTGGAAGTTTTCAGGGACATGCTTTCCGTTCCATTGGCGGTGTGTAAGTGAGTCAGTGTGGGTAAGCTTCCAAAGTGCATGAGGTACGGGCACACAGGACCTGGGGTTGAACAATGCAGTCCTGATTTCCCTTCTCTGACGTCTCATCTTTTCTGAGAGCTTCGTGTTTAGCTCAGACCTGCGGAGATGCTTCGCTTATTACTGAATTCGATCATACGTTTCTTATACTCCGCGATCTAGCTCTAATGTTTTTAATTAGACACAGCTTATCAAAACAAATCCTTTTTTCAGTGTTCATGGATCCTTGGAAGTTTAAATTTTCCATAGCACAAAGAGGCTGGAATGTAATATATGAAGCTACTTCAAATAGTTTATAGAAATGAAATTAAAAGATAACTTCATCTTGGTGCAAACATTTGAAAACCATGCATAACTTTTTATAATATATGCTTTCCATGAAATGTTTTTAAAAATTATTTATTCATGTGAGAATAAGAGAGAGAGAGACAGAGAGAAACAGTCATTTTGGGTTCACTTCCTGAAATGTTGCCACAGCTGGGTCTGGACTGTTGATGATGGGAACTTAATCCAGGTCAATCACTTGAGCCTTCTGGTGGTCTCCCAGGGTCTATGTTAGCAATAAGCTATAATCAGAAAATTGTATGAAGAATCAAACAGAAACATTGATGTGAAACACAGGAGTCTCAATCACTACACCAAATGCTTACACTTCCATGAAAGTCTTGAAGACCCCTTGGAACCCTCACTGGCTGAAGCTGTCTTCTAAGAAAAGACTCAAATGATAGATAATCCAGTCCCTAAATATCTGTTACATAGTACTGCATAAAAGTGATTGTATTTTCAAATTAGTAAAGCATGAAAGGACCAAGAAACATAGGAATGAGTTTATCCCCTGCTCTCTCTTTTCTACTATTAATACAAAGAACTTATCTTAGAGCAGAAATTCTCAAACTTTAATGTACATAATGCATACAGATCACCTCAGCATCTCACAAAAAATGTGGTTAGTCTGGATAGTGCCTCAGAAATGTTGATAAACTCCCACATTAAATGATAATGAGATAGAGAAGGTGTGGAGCCTTTTAAAATACCCCGTACAATTCCCAACTTGAGACAAAGACAATTCACTTTATTACTTTACAGTGCTTTCAAGTTCTAACAGTTGTGAAGTTCATCAGAGTCCAATTGTAATCCTCCCTGCTGTTTTCAATAAACGTCGTTTTTCGGGAATTAAAATGGTCATCTACATTTAGCTCATTTCTAGCTTTAAATAATCCAATCGAAATATATTTTTCCATAGAGTTTCATTTTATACAATATGAGTCAACATAGTGAAAGCAAGTGTATGGTGGCTGGCGTCTGGGATCCAGGCATGAGGCACCCTATCCTGAGTCCCACCTGCAGCCAGGAAGCTGCTGGAAGTTCAAACTCCCAGGCCCAAGGTCACGCCCCTCCCCAATCCCATTCACTGCCCAATGAGGGCGGCGGGTGTGCCCTGGACCTTCCAGTCATGGAGACCTGCCCCCTCGGTGTACCTACCCCGAAGGGAGCAGCCCCCGGAGCCCAGGCAGGCCGGGGGACAACTCACCATGTGCACATGGTAGCTGTCGTCTGAGATCCAGGCATGAGACACCCAGTCTTGAGACCAACCATCCATGTTGTGTTTTAATGTACATAGATGTTATAATAGTATACTTGTATATTCTGTTCCATTATTTTATTAGAGCATTTTATATATTAAATATAGTATAATAGTTATTCAAAGCAAATACATATTTTTAAATAGAGCCATAAAAATATTTTTACATAGGCCAGATAATTTGAGCAAAAGACTGGTCTGAGTCCTAATCATTCCGAAATTACAATCATTAGAATACCAGACATATGTTGCTGACTTTTTTGTTGTGAATATATTGCTGGTTTTATAATTTTAAAGGAGCAGTGAGAATATTTCAGTTATTTCTTAGAAATTGAACAGAATTCATCAGGTGTATATCTAGTATGAAAACTAGCCAAGTGAGAATGTTTTTTTAATTTAATTTATTTGAGTGTCATGACAAAAGAAAGAAAGAAAGAAATTTACTCATTCTTCAAATACCTCCTACGGCTAGGGCCGGAGCAGGGAACTTAATCTGAGTCTCTAGTGTGGATGGCTTGGGACCCAATCATTCCAGCCACCACTATTGCCCTCCAAGGTTGGTATTAAAGAAAGCTGCAATCAAGAGTTAAGAATTGGGTCCTCGCTTTGAATGCACCTGGATCCCATATGGGCGCCAGTACATACAGAAGACATAGGAGGAGCCGATGTTCAGTGTAGTGTTTACGTCACCACTTGGGATGAGTCCTGATTACTCAGTTTCTGATCTAACCCCCAGCTAAAGCACACCCGGAGAGGCAGAAGATGAGTCTGCTGGTTAGGTCTCTGTCATCCACAGGGGAGAATTGGCTATTGTAGAGTGAATCAATGGATGGGAGAATTCATTCTCTTTCTTTTAGCTTTTCAAATAAAATGTAAGTGCAAATTAATAAATAAAAATTTTAAAAAGAAAGAACATAATGCCATTTGATTTTGCATGTCTCATCCAAATATGTGTGTTATACATTGGAAGGAGTTCTGGAAGAATGTAGTTCGTGGAAATAAACTTTTTTCTTTAGAAACTGAAACTTAATCCCATTTGGGTTTTACTTAAAATGTCATAAAATTTTCTATGCTTTAGCCAGCTCAATCCCATGACAAATGGCAACTGATTACCAAGAAAATCAATTTAAGAATAATGGAATCAAATTTGCTGAACTAGTTGAGTGACTGGTATCAGTGGGCATTGTTGATCCCCCACAGAATAGGTACCATGTGGCATGTCAGGTATCTTTCCCTGTTTGCCTGACTGAAAAATTAAGATGTGAGAGAACAGTGATTAAATGTCTTGGAAGTTCTCTCCTGGTTTCACAGTGGGCAATTGTCCTGTGCTGCAATGTCGTGACTCCTTTTGGAGCTCCTTGCCTCAGCGATCGAACTTCATGGAAATTATGCTGTGCCACTACACAAAGAACCACAGATTAACAGTGGTTATTGGATCAATATTCTTAAACAAAGATAAATTATTGAGCCAATGAAATCAGAACTAAAGGCATTTTTATAAAATCAAATATTTCAGATATGTGGTCTTCTGGTCTTTAAAGACTTCTCTATCCTTAAACATTTCACAAGTGAGCGAGTGTAATTTCCTTTCACATTCAGAAGGAAAGGCACTTGAAAATGCACATTTTTAAGCAGCAACAACATGAACAAATAACAGGTTGAAGAGCTGAAGACTTCATAGTGAATTTCTTGACATGTGCTGTGACTTCATTGCCCTTGAATTTGAGTTTTATGACCACCTTTTTATTAATTTGACAGATTCAAGCATCCATTTCCTGAAGAAAATTAAGAATTTCACAAAAATGGATCAGCCTCAGATTATGTTGGTTCTCTTTGTTAGCTGAATCTGTGACCCACTCGGTTTCATTTCGTATGTCAGTTTCAGGAATGCTGTATGAGTTATGACGATTGTTATTTTTCACCATCTCACCAATGAATTATTCATTATTAATCACTAA